TGTACAAAGATGTTTCAAATGTCATATTAGGTGGAATAGATCAAGCCAAAACAACCAGAAATAGGCCGGCAAGGCATTATTAATAATTTTTGGGATGACGTAGGATTCAGCATTCCGATTAATCCTAATTTTAGGTACTGTATGTGTGTTTGTTTGTTTTAATATCACTATATCACTGCCAGTTGAAAGTAGGTTTTGAATGTTTGTTTGTAAACAGTTTAAAATACAAAAAGGTGTATTGAGTTGAGCCTAGTAACTTACTGTTCCCACACAATATTTAAAAGTAAAAGAAATTGACTAAACTAATAAGATATGAAACAATCCTTATCTAGGGGTGTCATGGAGGGAATCAATGGCTTGATGAGACATCTTCACTTGATCATCTGCCCTGTAATAAGAGAATGAGGATGCAAAAAGAATATATAAAAGCAAAGGGGGTAAGCGACAAACTGAAGAAAGGCAGACGAAAATGTATGACATTGAGGCGTCGTCTTTGTTCTTGTTTTAAGCTTATAAAACAAAACAAAGAAACCTGGTTTGTTAGGTGAATAAATTAAACAAACTACTCGTCTGAAGAAAAACCTTGGTGGAGTGAAGTGCTCTCAAACGCTATAGTGTATGCAGAAGTTTGAAGTAATCCTCATTGATGGTGGTTGTCAGGCTCCTTTTGGCTCTTTAATATTGGCCATGACGCTAATCAAGGCTCTTGAGTGTTCTTACAGAAAATAACAAGGTGTAACATCAAACTACAATCTGTGAGGCTCATCCAAGCAGCATTGTGTTCACTTCAATGGGCTTCATTTATTCAAAGGAGTTACCTATACATCATTCAGGCAGAATTATTCACTTGCAAATTGGCATAGAGTTGTGTTTCCCTCTCCAGAAGAATAACTTCCTCTGTCTTTCTACAACAAATTACTGCTGCCCATGCTGCCCTTCCCATCTGCTGCTCTGTGTGTGTTCTTTTTTTTACTTTCCTTTTGTTTACACAGCGTGTTAATGAGACATTAGATGAAGCCAAACCCATTCATCTCAATACCATTGTTCAAACTGCCTCGTCTGAAAAAGGAGCTTCAGAGCTGCCAGTAACTCCCGACACCTGCTCACCTGCCTGGGCGCACGCCATGGAAAGGTTTAATTGGAGGGAGAGCGTCAGAACAGGATAAGGAAACTGTTTTATTTAGTTAATTAAGAGAAAGTGAAGAATACGGACCGAAAACTAAAGCTGTTTGCTGGCCATCCTTTTTTAAGCAATGCCCCTTCTGGCTCTTCTTTCTCTCACCTATCTCCCATGCGTGCATAACATAGCAGCAGTGTACATCAAGCCGAAGGAGGACAAGAACAAAAAAATAAACTCTAGTTCACTCTCTAGCACATCGAGTTAGAATGGCAGCCTGTCAGATAAGCAAGAATAGAAGTGGACAAAGGATGGGAAGGAGAGAGAAACACAAGCACAAATGGAGATAAGAAGTGATAAGAGAAGAGAAGAGAGAGAGGAAGACCACAGATTGATGTGGGAATAGGAGGAAGCAGACAAAGAAGAGGAGGAAGAAAGGCAGAGTTGTGATGCAGACCAGGTCAATAAAGCTGAGAAGGTGCAGGAGAGAGAACTTCAGCACAATGCACTGTGCTGTGTTCATCTCCAAGCGAAATGCTCAGCCTGGCGCTCCTAAAAAAACTCTTTGTTCCATTTCTGTCACTCTCTCTAAATCCCCCCGCCACACAATGTGATTCTGCCTATCACTGTCTCCAAAAGGAAGCACCCCACTTAATTCAGGAGGTTATCAAGGCGGGTACATGCTGTTAATTACCCAGCTGTCATTGATCCTTTCAAATGTGCACGCAGACAAGTATTTAAATTAGAAGACAGTGTGTGTTTGTGGATTTTGTATGTGCGTGTGGGCACTATTTGTTTAAATAGTTGCTTGTCTCAAAACTCCTTTTCCGTCAACAATTTCCTTTTCCGAGCGCCACTCTCAAACTTTTTCTTCTCCGACATTTTCACCTAAACAACTCAATCACTCGCATTTTGAATAAGTCACATGTGAAACATATTCTCATTCTGATTGGCTGTTAAGTGGTGCCCACGGGGCGGGTGTCTTATAACTTGTATCAATCACCAGCCACATACATTCAGATCAAATGATGGACAGAACATTTGACGAATTACAAAACAATGCATTTTTTTATTGGCTCATGATAGGCCCCCGATCTCCGTAGGCCCCTGGGCTTCAGCCCAGGTCAGCCCGTGCATTAAGGCGGCCTTGCGTGTGGGGAGTTGTGTAAAGTCTGAGTTCAATTAGGGGTTAGTTGTTTAGCTAAAAGTTAGGGAGAAGTACTCAGAAGAAGTTAAAAGTTCAGACTGTTTACAAAAGTCTCACGTCGAAAAAGGGACAGACATGTTAGTAGACATCTTTATCTTGTCTTCACCGTGGGGACATTGGATTGCACATAACACAAAGTGGAGCACTTCACTTGTTTCAGTTCCTGCCTCCCATGCTCAGACTGCTGTTTGCTGATGATGTGCCCCAGACCCATGATGTAACTCCTGGAAACTGATATTTTCAAAATGAAGGTCATCTATTTTCCATCAAGCTCTCAAATGAGGTTACAGCGTGTCAATGCTTCTGCCACCATGTCGGAAGATCAGATATTGACTAAAAACGGGTGATGTAAGGTTGGGAAATTGAGGTGAGTCTGCTTGTGATGTGGTTAAGGTCTCAAGACAGACTATAATCAAGCCTTGTTTAAACTGTGCAGGCACCAAGAATATACTTGGATGGAGTGATGTAATGTGCGGTAAAACTTGGGTGGGCTTACCGATCAAGGGCTTGAATGCTTTTGAAGCGGGGATACACTGTGACTAAACATGGAAAAGTGTCTGTCTGCTCCTCTCTCTCAGTCCTGTGGGGATTTAGGATAACTGACGGGGAGATTGTACCCATCTCATTGAGAACATTTACCGTATATGTGCAAGAATGTCCAAAAAGGGAAAGTGTTCCTTTTTACCTGTGCTTTTCCTTTCCTATGTTTTCACCTTTAACTCCTTATAAAGTACAGATTATAAACTTTTTTTTTTTTTTTTTTAAATGTTCCTTTTTGTTCCAATGGCTTTCATCCCTAATGAGGACCATATTACCGAGCTTGGTTTTCATGCATTATAGGATACGTCTGGTAATATTATACTCCTAATCTACCTATCATATATATAAGACCAAAGCCTGAATATATATTTGTTACTGAAAGGTGTTGCCTTTGTAGTCAAAGCCTAGCATAGCTCATTCCCCTGTGACATAGACTGGCATTGTCCAAAATCTATAATCACATCAATGATACACAACATGGATGACATTATTTCTATGTTTCTATCAACATTGGCACTATCAACATTGGTAAAATAGTCTACAACAATTACACGACAACATGTCAAACAACTGATTTGTATGCAGATGTCAATAGTTTAATGTTTATTCAAGGTTGTGGAAGTCTAACGCCTCTTTTCCCTGTCACCCTCTGCACTGTCAAAGTATCAAATAAACGCACAAATTCTATAAAGAAATCAAGAGAAATATTAAGATACAGGCCAATGCTTTGGTTTGCACATGGTTCACATGGTCTCTTTATCAGATTTGTTTAGGGGAAGAATAATATGTATTATTGCTTCTGGCAGCATCACACTTGTGGTACAAGTTGCAAAGAAAATGGAAATAAAGAGATCCATTCAACAGGACCTTCAGCAGTTATGGCATAGCATTTGTCTGGTTTATTTAATCAAAGAAAGAGAGGTTTGTGGGAAGGTTGGGGTCATTGACGCTTTGTTACATCTCTTGCTGGTTCTGTCCAGAGAGAGAAAAATCTGGCAAGGCAGAACAGCAGGAGAGCCAACCTCAGAGAAAGGTCCAATAAGGTTTTGGTTTTCTGTAGTGGGGCCAGATAGCCTCATTCAGGGGTGCAAAAGAAAAAAAGATTTGAAATAAAATGGAATAAAGCAAGAACATAAATTATCAGCACATTTGGTACATGTTCCGGAAGAGTTTCCTATTGTGCTATGCATAATGCATCAGCGGTGCTTTGTTTGCTAATGAAAAGTCTTATGCCAAAACGCGGAAGTACTATTTCTTTCAAATGAAAGCTTTGAACCACAGATCAAAAAAAAGTTGTCCGATCCGGCTTCCTTTAAATAAGAACCATCTCCAGGATTGAAACAATGCTCTCACACTCTGACCTAGAAAATGTCATTCACACAACTACAGTATGTTCACAACTTGACTGCTGCCACTTCCTCATTTCCGCCAGTAGTTCAGGTTGTAAGGTCTTAACTCACAACTTCAAATAACCCCAATCATGGCTTCTCTACAATAACTCTTTGTTTGATTAAGAATGTATTTCAAGGTTTACAAATCCCTTTAAAACTCACAGGGTTTGGCCTTCAGAGGCAATATTACAGAAATGTTGACCCCATATGAGCCAATCCGCAGCCTCAGATCCTCAGGTCAGCTGTCCGCTGATACGGCTTGCAGAATCAAGTATTTAGTTTAAAACGCTAAGAAAAACTAACTTTTATAGACCTGCTTTTCAACTCCAAGTAGATTGTGGACTTGTACATGAAGAGGTGCTGTTTTGCCCTTAAGCTAGTAGCAGCCCACTGCTACCAAACACTTAATGGAATCCTCCATTTTCAAACTGTTGGGCACTCTTCAAATGGTAGGAATGAGAAAATATTTTACTTAAGGTAAAGAGATAAATGTATGTTATTGTGTTTAAAATAGGTCCGTTGCCCACCCATTTTCAACCCCAGACATTCACTCATTCCACCATGACAACTGAGCATCTATAAAAGCATGTGTATAATTGATATGAGTACTTTGTAAAAAGTTGGGTTAGACAAGTCAACAGCTCAATCATTATTTGATAACTACAGTACTCAGAAGATGTAGAAAATGTCCTGAAAGCATTCCTTATTTGGAACTTAATTGGTATGTTTTTTTTCTCTCTGTCAGCCATGGACGCGCCCCTGAATCTGACTGCCAGTGAGGTGAATCACCGCAGCGCTCTCATCTCCTGGCAACCACCACTCGCAGAAATTGACAACTACATGCTCACTTACAAGGCAACGGACGGCAGCCGCAAAGTATGTAGTGCACACAGCAGAACTGTCTCAACTGTGTCTGTTATCTCATATCTGTTATACTGTATTTACATGTATGTTAAAGTTTTATCTGAGGTTTCTTTATCTACTTTCTTTCTTCTAAATTCCTGTTGAGTATCCATGAAACATTTGCAATCATGTGTCCGGGAGATAAGCTGTACTTTTGCTAATCCAATCACCTGAAAATAGAAACTGCAGATATTAGACACACATTGACAACACCTTCTTGGATTTCTGCAAAGAAGAAAATGTTCCCAGTTTATTGAACCTATTATTACAGAGTTGAACAATGTTCAGGAAAGGTAAATCACAACTTTTCAAAATCCACATTATATCTTTTAATCATGTAATCCCTTGATGTTGAGTGCAAGCGTTCGGGGGGACACACAGATTGATTCACATACACACACACACACACGCACGCCAGGGAATCATGAAGGGAACGTGGCTGTCTAATGAAGATATCACGTTAATATGTCTCAGTAGAGCCATTGTTTATTTTGATTAAATATTTTCATGTGGCCGATTCATGGTAATAAAGCACATTAGTAAGCTCTGTGTAGAACGCACCACGCCTGTTATCGAATTTACTAGAACCATTTCCCATGATGCTCTGCAACAGCCTCCCTTTTATTGGCAATTGGGTGTCCTACACACAAGCACACACATGAAACCAGATGTTCAAAGGTTGTCCCCTTCAAGACTCAATGTCAGGCACACACACCAAACACACACACACACACACACACACACACACACACACACACACTGAGCTTGAATGTGTAGTACTGCTTTGTGGTTGACCATCGGGTGTCACTCATGTACAAAGAATGCAACAGTATCCCATTTTTTTTATTATAAGTGCCATCAGCATTCTTCTTAATATAATTTTCTTGATATTCATCCCTCGTTCTGCCTTTTCGTCTATTTTCCGAAACAATGGTTTGTTTCAAAAGAAAAATGTTCCCTAGAAATGTAATGGCTTTTACACAAGAATACTTTTAAATCAACATTTGTATATGCCATTTCCAAGACTCTGTATAAATTTGCATGCTAAAGAGAAATAACATTTTTCACAATTATTGTTCTCCTACGACATACATATCTGCATAATAGACAAACACGCAGCATACAAATCAATACCAAAAGGTAGAAATTCATATCTAACAGTTAGGTTTCATTATGGAGCTTTCTTTTTAATGCTATCAAAACACTGTTGTCTTCATAAAGCCAATAATGTAGTTTCTTAAAAATCATATTTGCATAAAACACTTTTTTATCATAGGCATACTGACTTACGACCAGACAGCAGCCTGCTACACAGAACAAGAGCAACAGACTTTGAACAACACACATTACCTTTGACGATACTGTATGCTTCCTATCAAATTTAGACATGTATTCAGCTTAATTGTCTCAGTTGCTCAATTGGCCACTGAAAAAGAGAATTATGCATTGCTAACATCAGTTTGCAGACTGGATAGCTCATTAGCTGGTCATATGACGGCTGCTCCATCTCCCCATCTCCTGAAGCCCGCAACCTGGGTGTCATCCTCGACTCCACCCTTTCCTTCCACTCCCACGTCAAGTCTGTGACCAAATCGGCCTTTTTCCATCTAAGGAACATTGCCAGACTCCGACCGTCACTCTCGGAGTCGGTTGCCGAAACCCTAGTCCATGCGTTTGTCACCTCCCGCTTGGACTACTGCAATGGTGTCCTGTTTGGGGTTCCCAACAAAACCCTGGACAGGCTCCAGTACGTTCAAAACTGTGCTGCTAGGGTACTCACACACACAAAGCCGTGGCAGCACATCACTCCCACCCTCATCCACCTCCACTGGTTGCCGGTCAAGTCCCGCATATCATTCAAAATCCTCCTCCTTACCTACAAGTCCCTCCATGCCCATGCCCCCAGTACCTATCGGACATCCTTCACCCACATGCCCCTCCCCGGAACGTGCGGTCTTCAGACTCTGGCCTGCTTACCACCCCCCGCACCAACCTGCGAACCTTCGGGGACAGAGCCTTCAGTGTGGCAGCCCCCACCCTCTGGAACGCTCTCCCTGCGGAGATCCGCAACATCCCCACGCTTGACGCCTTCAAAAGGGCCCTCAAGACCCATCTGTTTACTAAGGCCTTTGGCCCCTAATCTATTTGTTGTTTTGTCTGTCTGACTAGTTGTCTGACTGCCTTTTGTTTTGTTATGTTTGTTTTGCCCTGTTCTTCTTTGTAAAGCGACCTTGGGTCTCATGAAAGGCGCTATATAAATCCAAGCTATTATTATTATTATTATTATATGCAGCACCTTTTACAGCTCAAAAAGTTAGCAGCTAATGTCATATCGGTGTGTATAGATGTTGGCTCTGGCTACGACTGGAGAAAAAAACCCCACTGCAGGCCCATAGCTCGTAACAGTTTGCAGCTTAAGTATTTTTTTCATATTTTCAAGAAGAAAAACCCCAAAGATAACTACATTTTTGATAAAGCTTTGATCATTTATAAAGAAAATGTGTTTAAATCTGTAAGATTGTGTTAGATGGAGTATGAACATGTTTTTTTTTGTCTCACTCTCCTCGCCACATTTGATAATGTTCTTTTAGATTTCATTCAATTCTTTGTTCACCACAGTGAGCTGCCTCAATAACAAGTGCCACATTCATTGTGTTTGAAAAGGAAATGAGTCACAACACTTTCAGTTCAGAGCCAAACCGACCGCTGTGGCCGCAGATTGAAGTGCTCATTGAGAGATTCTCCTCTTGTTGTCTCTACTTGAGGTTCATCTTGGCTGTGTTACCTCGGCTGTAATCTAAACACATATTCCTGAGCCTTGCAGCTGTTCATCTCGCTCTCTTACGGAGATAATGGACTTATAAATGACACACAGTAGCAACGAGATTCATTTTTTATCTCATTAACATTTTCTTACCAGTTTGTAAATGCATGTATCACTGTTGGTTATTTTCGTGCCTAGAATTATAAAGTTATACCTATTCAAACATGCACAAGGATGAATAAAAATCCACCAAACATCGACCACACACAAACAATTGTTAATTGGCGTACTGTATAAAGGTATGTTTTAGAAAACAGGGAGTTTTTGCTTTCCATGAAAATCCTATCTTGACCCTAGAAACATGGAGGGAATATGTAAGATCCTCTGAGACGGAGAGACAACATTTACCAGCTGCTTCCATGCATAATTCACGTAGACACATTGCATTGAAATGTGTGATTTCTTTTTCAAAACTTGCTGAATATTTCATCTTTCCTTCTTCATATTTAATGTGTATCCAGGGCAAACTGTAACATACATGCATACAAATACAGGCGTAGAGTGCGAGCACTGAGCGATTTATGTCTGATCTAAGAAACCTGTCACAGGAAATATGTCATGGCTCCTTTAGACAGGCTCAATGAAAAAAACATTTTCACTAACAGAGGGAAGTAACTGTCTCGTGTACTTTTATGACTTCTTTAACAGAAATATAAATGTTTATTTCCTGATTCCTTCGTAGCGTCTCAACTTGGCTGTCCATTAAAACTCTTTTATCTTGTCCTCCCCTTTTATATTTTATATTGCTTAGTCCCTTTCTTCATGTCCAAGAGTTACTACTTACAGTAGTTATGTATTTGTCATGCCAAACATCCAGCCTATCCTACAACGAAGTACAAGACGCCACCATTTTACAGAACAAAAAATTTGTGTGAGAAAGAAATCATCTGCAATAAAAAGAACTGCCAAATGTTTCATATATGCTAACAGCTAACTTATACCAATTCACCTATACAGTATTTAAATTAACTTATATCCTTATTACAATCCATCTAATTTCCTCCTCACCTTTTTGAGTCACCAGTTTGACATAACATCGTGCTACTAGAACACAAAGCAAGCTGTCGTGTGTTTCCTGAACAAAAATAGCCTGAAGGTCTCTTTGTTGCCAAAAAAAGTCTTTTGAAAACTCACAAGCAAAATTCAATGTGTTATCTGTGACTGGTTGGGACTCTTCTGTCATTAGTTTTCTACCCTGAGGTTTACACAGAAATCACTTTGAATTATTGCTTTGTATAATACAATGTCTCAATCTAATATATTTTACCTTGTATGTGAATTAATGTGTGTGTGTGTGTGTGTGTGTGTGTGTGTGTGTGTGTGTGTGTGTGTGTGTGTGTGTGTGTGTGTGTGTGTGTGTGTGTGTGTGTGTGTGTGTGTGTGTGTGTGTGTGTGTGTGTGTGTGTGTGTGTGTGTGTGTGTGTGTGTGTGTATTAGGAGCTGATACTGGATTCAGAGGACACATGGATTCGTCTGGAGGGTCTGGCAGAGACCACAGAGTTCACAGTGAAGCTCCAGGCTGCTAGAGGACTTGACACCAGCGCTGTAGTGTCCACTACCTTCACTACAGGTACAGTACACACACACACAATCCCCTCACATATATACACACACACCATGTGTTTGTATTGTTTGCTTTAAACTTGGAAAGAGATTCTAACAGGGTGAGTTTTGTTGGCCCAATTTGTTTCCCCTTCTTGCACAGCATTTCACATTTCTGTCACCGTAAAACAAAGGTGCACAGTAATGTGTCCCCAACGTCAGACACAATTATAATCTCCATTTCCTGTGTGTAGCGAGGGAGACTTCCCATTAGGCTGCACCTGTAGGTTGGCTGTCTACGATCCTACAGCTGAACAGAGTGCTCTAATCTTCAATGTTCTGCCCAGTGTATAATTAGACTCTGGAACTGTCACTCAAACAAGGGTTAGGAAGCATTATGAAGCTGCTAATAACTTGAACAATTCTGTGAACATGCCAAAAGTAAATATGAATATCTATCATTTCAACCCAGCAGTGGACTTAGCAGTTAAATGAAAGCTTTGCAGGTTGTCAGTTTTACTCTAATCTTAAACTTTTAATTGATGTTTTTTGGACACTTCGAAAGCTTCAAAAGCTATTCCAAATTAAAGCTTATTTTGAACATGGTCATGCTTCTTCCCTGCTTAATGAACTTGTTATAAGACGCCAGCAGACCAGTTAAATCAACACACTAAAAACTGTAGCTGTCATATTTCATGACACAAAAGCTGATTTTGACATTCAGTCTGTTCAAGGAGCAAAACTATGGAACAGTCTAGTAACTGTTTTGAAAATGCAACATGGTTAAAATGTTGTGTTTATATTTGTTTTGAATGTTTTTGTACGGTGCATCTATTCCTTGTGCATTAATGTAACTAACACCGAGGCAGCAGGATAAGCTGTAAACACACTATTAGAATTTATTACCTTGTAAAATGTATATAGGAAACGTAATAGTATACACATCCAACGGAAATGGAGCAACATTAACCTTTATTTAGAGCCGTGTTTCTGGTTGCCTGATGAATGTTAAATCAATATTTGCTCTACTTTTATTTTTCTCTTCTCTCCTGAGGGTAATTGGCTCTTTAACAGCTAAGTCTATAATTTGAGGCAGATAGCATACAGCTGGTTTATCAGAGCTTGTCCACTAAAACAACTGTCTGCGAAAAACTAAAGTTATGGGCTGTAAACAAAACAGTGTTTTCAGTGAAGGGCTTTGTTGTTGCGCTGAGGGAAACAACAAAGCGGTAAATGATTATCCATGGCTTTTGATCTTTAAGCAAATAGGTATTTACTCTGTTGATATAAAAATCCAAATGATTGCAGCTTTAAAAGAAAATAGAAAGTTTTCAAATGCCTGTACGAATAACTCTACAAAAGATGGACAAAAACAAGCAAGTTATAATGGGTCCTCTTCTGCTTATCTCCAGGGAGTCGTCTGTTTGCAACGCCTCAGAATTGTGCCCAACACCTGCTGAATGGAGAGACTCTGAGCGGGGTCTACACCATCTACATCAACAGAGACCCCAGCCAGGGGGTGCAGGTGTTCTGTGACATGACCACTGATGAAGGAGGCTGGATTGTAAGTAGCTCTGAAGCATTTCGAAAGCATTTGGTTCACTATAATGCAATAAACGGTAAAGGTAAAAAAGACAGAGGAGGTTTTGATTGACTACACAGCACTGACTTATCTTGTCTGAACATTTAAAGGGGACCTATCATGCAAAATGCACTTTTGTACGTCTTTTATACATGAATATGTGTCCCCGGTGTTCCAGGGAACTCACCAAGTGTCAGAAAACACAACCCTCTCTATTTTCCTCCGTACCCAAATCTCTAAAAAAGGGGCTGCAACGGATCTGATAAAAACTGATCCAGATTTGAACACTGTCCTGACGTCAGGACAGTGTTCAAATGGGCCAACTCCACCAACTCCAACTCCACCAATCAGGAGGAGACAGCCACGGCCATTGCCGTTCGAAAGCGCTGGAGATGCTGTAGTACATATGCCAGGCCTGTAGATGGTGCTGTTCTCACTGAATCAGCCCTTGCAAAAACAGAGCTAAGAAATGCCAAATTGAGCAAAATGAGGCATGGCTAAAATGCATGATCTGTTTGGTATTTTGAAAAAAACAAGTATAAATATGCCTTATATAGGTATGGTCCTATACTATATTATTCAAATATAGCATGATAGGTCCACTTTAAGTTGCATGTCTATTTGTAAATTGTATTTTTCTGATCTTGTCACATTGTTATATTTTGGTGTTCAGGTTTTCCAGCGTCGTCAGAACGGACTCACAGACTTTTCCAGGAAGTGGAGTGACTATCGGGTTGGCTTCGGAAACCTGGAGGATGAATTCTGGCTCGGTAAGAGTCTTAATCTCAGATAATTAATCGAGAGAGAGTCCCAGGGAGTACTTTCAAATACAAAGATTATCCACCCATCATGTCCACTTTATGTGGTCTGGCATAACTATAGCTTATCTTGCTGGATAAGATAGACATGATGATGATGCTGGAACACAGGTGTATTGTGGAATGAAGGTAATAAGGTCAAGTATGCTACTGCCTGATTCAAGTTTCAAGTATCTACATTTTCTGGGCTGCAGGCTGATATTAAGACGTTTTGTAAAAGCGTTATTACCATCTTTATCTGCACACCGTCTCCATGACTGAAATGGATTTAATCAATAGAGGGTGGCAGCTTTCAATTGGTTCCATTGATACATCTATTGTAAGGAGGAAGAGATGTTTCCCATACCTTGTCTGGGCGGTATAGCCATTTTTGTTGGATTCTTCCCTCTCACCGCATCCACTACAAACTCCTGGTCCCCCCTTCCCCCCCTCCAAACTGTAAAGCGACTTTGAGACTTGAAAAGCGCTATATAAATTCAATTGATTATTATTATTATTATCTGAAGACGGAGAACCCTGCAGCTGGACTTTTTTTCTCGTCCTGCTCATCTCATCTTTCAGTTCTTTACTTCACAAAGTCTGTCCGACTCATTACTGGATTCACTGAAAGCTCGTCTCTCCCTGAAATGAGTTGGAAAATTGTTTTAGCGTCTGTTTGATTCAAAGACAAAACAACAGAACACTGTTTTGATGAACTACTGAATATATTTCCCCCTCCCCCTTAAAATTTCATTAGAAAACAATAATTATATTCATTAGAAAATGTGCAAATGAGTCATGTTTGTTCATGGGCCAGATTTGGTGTTATTGTTTTGGTGCAGATGATTAAAGGAAAGTATTACATGAATATTTCATTAAGTGAATCAGAACCTTGAGAAGAATCTGTTCTGAACTTTTTGATTAGAGGAATTGAATAACACTGGGGGGAAATGGGATGGCATTGCATTATCAGCACATTATCACAGAGGGAAGGCTGTTACTCTGCAGCTGACACATATTGGATCATAACACAAGATAGTTTGTGGCACGCTGTAGTCCATTAGTGACTAAACACACTGTTATAGGTGAAAGCGAAAGAGATTTCAGATCCAACCCATCATAATCAGGAGCTGACAAAATAATGCAATCTGCTTCAAAGGCATTTCTTCCAGAGTGTCAGATTATTTGTCTCACTGATTATTTTTTTAAAGCTGTTTGCGTTGTTATGAGGTGAATTGAATAATAATGCCAGCTGGTCTGGACCACAGGGACGGTGTTCAAAGGTAACTCTTTTTTATCACAACAGAGAAAGGATTGCTGTCTGCTGGTATAAATTAATCATTTGTTTCTGTATTTCAATGAGGAATATGGAGGGCATTATGCACTGAAGCACAGGAAGCAGGATGAAAAATATTCTACAAACATGTTTGTGCGCCAAACAGAATAGGAATCCCTCCCAAGTGCACACTGCGCAGTATAAAGCAAAGATAGTGACGGCAGTGTTCAGAAGTCTCTAACCTGAAGGCATCATGTTGCAGCATCATGGCACAGATTTCACATCTTGCAGATTTATATTGCCTTTGTCCCTACAATAAAATTCATAGCAAATGTGGTTCAGTGCCTCCAAATATTACTTCTGACCCATTTCCACTTCAGCTGAATCAGCAATAATCTGCCCTCTCACCACTTCTGGAGGTATGCTAGTCAAGGGCAGCTCCTTCAATCTCTAAGGTCCCTCTTTACTTTTCATAAGTGCCTCCTAGGTTGCACTTCCCGCGTCCTTCTTCTTCTTTCACTTGTACTGTACTCTGTTCTCTCAGTGCATAAAAGCATCTTAATGTTACCTCAGGGTGTGGAGCATCAAGAGCCGCTCTGTGAAAGCTTCTCCTCGTGATTACAGATAACAAGCCAGCAGGGATCACAGCAGCCTCAGAGTACGGCACACATTGAGCCCCAGCCTGTCGTATGAAACCGACCTGGGAGTTTGTTAAGCTCGAGCTCTGTTAGCAGGGAACTACAAGATTGTTTCAAAAAGGAGGAAAATAATCAGAATCAGGTTTATTACCAGGTAAGTTGACACGTACGAGGAATTTGACTTGATGTTATGGTGCATACATAAAAGTTAAAAAAAAGAACAAAAACACATATAGAGAACTGGAAAGTGTTACTAATAGTATTTAACTGTGTTTAAGGACTGACAATGAATATTCTAAATTATTCATATAAGGTATATTTGAATGGTTAAAAGAAGACATTTCTCCTATCAGGACTAGAATTTGCAGTGCATTTTTAGCAGTGACATTTCAAGAAGGGTCCACTAACGTTCCCTATAGAAAGTAAATGGTGTTATCACAGATGGTCACTGCACTGTGAAACTATGTGTCCTTCACTCTTCTTTCTACAGAGTTGGTCGCTGCCATAGCCCGTGGAGAGCTATTATTGTGAACATTTAGTTAATCACCACCCCCACACACAGAGCAGTAATATATCAGACGGTATGGAACCATAAACATGGATATTAAATCCACTCAGACTGAAAAGAAGAGGCGCTTAACTGGTCAGCAGTAAAGAATATGAAAATGAAGCTTTCATTATTATCTGATGCACTTTAACAAACGGACGTTTTTATTGCTGCTTTAGGGCGATCTATTCTCCCTACTCACTGACCTCGGCCAGTTTTAGCGCTGAACACAAAGTCAGCTTGATGATGTTTAAACAGAGAGAAACCGGGGAAGCTGCAGTATGTGATCATTATCCCATACTCTTTCTTTTTTTAATCCCCCGCCCGCCGCTCCTGTGTAAGTGAGAGAGAAAGGCTGGTAATAAAATGTGACGAGACGGTAATATTGGTAGTATAATAAGGCAAGAGTGCAATAGTGTGTCAAAATGTATTTTTTAATCGCTGCAGTTTGAAATAGAGCAGTCTGATCCCATAAAACTGTTGGAGGAGAAAACTGTAAAAAAATGATGGCTGCTATATTAATTGCTGATAATACAGTGATATAATATAATGGAAATTAGAGATGACTGAGAATTAAACGCAATTTTATTGTAACTATTGCTTTCACCTTAAATGCCTCTGGTTTGTTCCATATTAACAAACCATCTTTCCATTGATGTATTACAGCAGACTTAGTTTCCCTCCTCTCTTGCATTTCCACTTCCTACTCCTTATCAGCAATGGAGGATTTTCTTCTAATTATCCCAGGGTGGAAAAAGAAGAAGTGTGTGATGCCTCTGCTGGAGGTTAAGCAGGGAAATAGACTCTTTCCAAATGGGTGCTTGTTGTAATCTGATGGTGGAGGCAGTACCAATCTCTCAGGTCGGTGTGGGGTCTTATCGCCTGTCAGGGTTCAAACGAGCCTCATGTCTGCTACCTTGGAGATAGAGAGCAAAGCCGCAAATCTCACGATTTTGCTGCATGTGGCATTTGAAGGGGGGCCGGTGGTGGCAGTGTCCACGGCTCTCGGAAAATGTCAATCTTACTCTTCAGTCGAAGCAGCTGACAAAGACACCGGCCAGAGTTCTTATCAGGACTCAAAGCTTTAAGTGGGAACAAACCGTCCGATTTAGTATACGTACATGGTACATTCATTACATTCAGTACATCACAGAAATCAATATTACATTATTTGTGAAATGGTTTAACAACCTCTCTGATCAATATTCTTATGAATAACAGGTTGTCTTAAACATTTGAAATATAAGAAGGGATATTTCACATTTTCCTCTGTGTTCACTTTATTATGATGTATTTAGAATATTTATTTATATAAAATTTGTTCAAACTCCAGAAATGTTTTGGTACCCAGAATAGAAAGGTTTATTCCAATGCTTAAAGGGTTGGCTACCTTTGCAGGATGTCAGTTGAAGTTTATTTTAGATTTATGCCTTAAACAATGTTTTATAAATAGCTGTGTCTTGTTAGCCTGTATCGGCTGGGCATATTATTTATGTATGACACAATAATAATGTGAATCAATCAATTACAAATACTGTCATATTGTCAATCCATATTGTAATTGTACTATTCTTATTTACATTTAGTATCTATGCATGTCTGTCTGTGTTGACAGTTATTTTGTGTTTCTCCTAAGGATCTATTGTTGGACAGGGGCAAATGCTGTAAAGATTGTAATTTGTGTTTTGAATATACAATTGTTGGGCCAATTGAGTCATGTGTGTCGCTTCAAAATAAGGTTAAATAGGAGGCTCGCTTTTTTAGGGTTCCCTGTGGATTTCTTTCAATCACTATATGAACGTAATGACTTCCATATCCGTGTGAGGGTGATAACTTTCAATAAAGTGTGTTTTGTTTCTCCACAGGTCTAGACAACATCCAGAAGATTGCTGGTCAGGGCCGCTATGAGCTGAGAATTGACATGAAGGACGGACAGGAGTCAGTCTACGCCAACTATGACAAATTCTCCCTTGGAGACGCGAGAAACCTCTACAAGCTCAGAATAGGAGAGTACAACGGCACCGCTGGTACGTGGTGGAATACATCATTGTAAAAACGATTGGATTGAATGTGTTTAAGTTCACGTACATCATGATTTTGCACTGTGATCAACCTTAGAAATGACCTGTAATGACATCAACATCAAAGCTCTATGTGATATGGAGCTGTTTATGTCAAATAACTCTACTATACTTATATATATATCAAAATGTGTGCTGTTTCCAACCTTTAAGTGAAAATACTCTTCCATCCCTACTCTGCCATCTGCTATTTTCTCTCCTCACTCCTTTCCCCTCCATCGTTTTTCTTCTCCCTTATGTCTGAAACCTGCCTCAGCACTCCTCCACATTTCCACTGAAGTCCTCGCTCTCCATGCATCTCTCAACATGACCATATGCCAGAATCACCCGTCACCCTCTCATGTTTATAATTATATTTCTCTCTGCCTTAGTAAATTGAGAGTGCCTGTAGCAGGATTTATTTCCTCTCATGTCTCTCCCGTTCCTCTCCTGCCTGCCTGGTCGTTTATGTCTCCTCATCACGCCGTTATTCACCGCAGCCATATGCAAATGCAGCATACGCGGAGGTTTAACGGTCTCACTCTTTCTCTCTCTTTCCTCTGATCCCAGGTGACTCTCTGAGCTATCACCAGGGCCGGCCCTTCTCCACAAAAGACAGAGACAACGACATCGCCGTCACTAACTGTGCCTTGTCTTACAAAGGAGCCTGGTGGTACAAGAACTGCCACCGGGCCAACCTCAACGGCAAATACGGCGAGTCCAGACACAGTCAGGTCAGTCATCCCGTAAAGACGTGATAAATAATAGAGCAAGAAGTTAATCTATTATGCAAAATACACTTTTTCATGTCTTTTATACATAAATATGTGTCCCCTCTGTGTGAAGAGATTCTGAACGTTTCAGGAAAAAAGATTTGTTCTCTTTTTGTCCTTTGATCCATTTATATAAAAACCTGTCTGAAAAAGAGCAGATCCGATTTTGGCCACTTTGTGATGTCATAATGTTTTTTTGGCTTCTGTAACCATTAGCCAAAAACCAACCAAGGTAACCCCCCCCCCACCCCCCACCTTATCACCTGAATCTCCTCCTAGAGCACCATAGTGTTCTTTTTAACCAAATATCTCTCAGAGGGGCGTGGGGAGTGGCTCCTTATTTTCATCTAAAGTAACAGACACAGAATCAGCTCTTTTGAAACAGGGCTGAAACAGAGGGGTTTATGGGATGCTACAATGGGTGATCTGTTTGGTATTTCGAGCCAAACACTTCAGAGACATGTTTTGTATGTAACTGAGAACTATAATATATTGATGAAAAACAGTATAATAGGGGAACTTTAAGTCAAAAACTGATTTTGTGGTGAAAAGGGTTTGTTGATCCAATTTACAAAAAGACCCCTCCCAATTTGTTGGACTGTGTCGAGGGTGGATACAAGACGAGGATTGATTAACAGCATGGCGAAGTAGACAGCTGCCCCAGAACTCCAGGTGTAGCTTGGTGTAAACTCATTTGTGCTAATTAAATTGAAATTCTGTTTGGGAATATGCAGCACCGAAGCACATTAATGTGACATGATAAGGGCCTGGAGGTGGTGGAGCTTTATTACCCAAACTTGTGGTCCAGGTTCAAGGAAAGTGGCGGCACCTATCATCGTTATTTGAGTTTTGAGCTTTCATATTCATGAATACATGCAGGTTCCTTTAATAACCACACAGGGCATCTGAGGCCAGGGTGTATTTTAGTTTAAAAAACGGTACAGAATTAGAGGAATTGAGGAACTTCTCCATTTCGAAAGTAGTTTAGAAAAATGCTGACTTCAATTTCTGAGGATTATTCCAAGCAAGTTGAACTGGATACAGTTTCTGGAAATACACATTCCTGTTAAATGTTTTAAATGTGTTTCCACATGCCTTCGAGCTCCACAAATGTTCTATTTAAGTTTTTTGGTGTAAGCAAGTACGTTTTTCATCTTTTAAAGAACAGTATCAGAAAGCACTCTACGAGACTACAAATTATTACATTTAAATAAGTGTGTCTTCAGATGCTTTTTAAACGCGTCAACAGAGGCTGCAGTCCACATATTCAGAGACACTTTTTTAATGATATGAACCGGCACATTCAAGGTTTGACAGCATAAAAATCAGATGGTGTCACTAACACTGAGCACATTACGCACAAAACGTAAAACTATCTGCACTGCTCCAAGACAGGCACTGTATTGTGGCATTTACAAAATTCACATAGACATTTACGGCAGTGTGATTGAAAGGATAACATAATTAAATGTAAAGGGCTAATAATAAATGTAATTACATGAGATTTGCTGTAGACATGCATCTCAATACTCAGTTACACTGATTGGCCTGAATGAGGAGCTGTAATGAATGGTCAAAAAATAAAAAGGCTAACACTGTCACAGCAATTTTGATTAAACTCAGGGAGACTCATTTTGATTGAGCAGAAGATTCTGTTTCATCTGGTTGGCTCTTATCCAAACACTCATACCAGTGAGAACATACAGTGTATTGTTTTTGAGAGTCAGCTGTTGGAGGTTAATGCTTTGATTCAGACATTCTAATTAAAAAGATGTTTAAGGAGTAGAACATGGGATATATTGTCAGAAATATTTGTCACTAGAAACTGAAATAAAATCACACCATTTAAAATATGTTATTAAACTTGTATAATTATGGAAAATTAATGGCATTATTTAAATTTAAATGTCGTAGTTTGGAACCTAATTCTCTGTTTATTGTCATATCATACACACAACTACGGTGTAGTATGTTATGTTGAAAAACTTGGGTCACAGGTTCCTCAACAAAGCAATTACAAGACATACATTTGTTTTTTTTAAACAACAATAAAAACAGTGCCAGCTCAGGCATGAAGTAGTCAGAGTAGTAGGGAGATATTACATGATGGTCCTCAAGAGGAAATAGTTCAAATAAAAACACCAGAACATTTAATTTAGGGACAGTTTACAATTCATAAAAGGTGATGTAAGAGTTTAATCAACTAAAAAATAGGTTCATTTAGTGTCACAAACTACATTCAAATTAGTTTTGTAAGGAAATGTATTAGAATATTTAAATACAAATAAAATCAATTCAAAATGATCAAGTGACCCCATGAATGCTAATATAGACTTGAAGAAATGTTTAAAAAAGGGCAGCATACAGTATTCAAATGATAGAACCATGTGAGGGAAACAAACTACATGCACACCTGTGATCACACTGAGGCTCCCTCTGTGTGATGTGGCAGTGAGAGTTGAGTGCTTGTCCGTTTCCTTTTGACGAGTGTGTGATGTGGCTCTCTCTCAGCTCAGTGCTGTAATGGCTGGACAAAGAGAGCGAGGTGTTGTGTGAAGCTGTGATTAGGCTGAACTACAAAGCCCCGGAGCACCACTGCTTCTCCCTCGGCGCTCTGGCCCGCCGTCTTTGTTGTGTGATGACATGAAATGAGAGCAGGTAGGAGCAGAGATGGACAGGCATAAAGACACGCAAGGACAAAGTGCCTCTCAGTGTAGAGCTGCAAATTGGAAGGTTTGGAGGTGGTGGATTAGCGGGGATGGAGTGAGACTATAATTACATTGAATTCATGCTAGTGCTAGCTCTTAAGTAAGGATTTGTGCTTTCCTTCAGACACTTTTCTGAGTATGTTACATTTCCTCCTTCCTTTTTATTGAACATTTTCTGTCATTTCCCCTCAGCTTAAATGTCACCTGTTATGCAAAATCCACTTTTTCTTGTCTTTTATACAGAAACATGTGTCCCCTCTGTGTAAAGAGTTTCTGAACGTTTCAGGAGAAAAGATTCACTCACTTTTTGTCCTGATCCATTTAAAAACCTGTCTGAAAATGAGCTGATCAGATTTTGGCCACTTTATGATGTCATAACGATTTTTTGGCTTGTGTCCATTAGCCAATAACCAACCAAGGTAACCCCCCCCCCCCACACCTTATCACCTGAATCTCCTCCTAGAGCACCATTTTGTTCTATTTAACCAAATATCTCAGAGAATCAGCACTTTGCAGTGGCTTAGTCTGTAGGGACTTGGTCTTGGAACCGAAGGGTCGCCGGTTCACGTCCCGATCGGACCAAAAAAAGTGAGCTGGTAGCTGGAGAGGTGCCAGTTCACCTCCAAGGCCACTGCCGAGGTGCCCTTGAGCAAGGCACCTAACCTCGAAACTGCTCCCTTGGCGCCGGGTACCTGGCAGCCTCTCTGCTCTGCCACCTCTCCTATCTGCATGTGGTTGTGTGTGTGCATGTATATCCTCTGTGTTTGTGCATGTATATCCTCCCCTGTGTGTGTAATGTGTGTTAACACAACAGAGTGGGGAAAGAAATTTCCCTGTAAGGGATTAATAAAGTGTAACTTCTTCTTCTTCTTCTTCTTCTTCTTCTTCTTCTTCTTCTTCTTCTTCTTCTTTGGAAACAGGGCTGAAACAGAGGGGTTTATGGGATGCTACAATGGTCTGTTTGGTATTTTGAGCCAAACACTTCAGAGACATGTTTTGTATATAACTGAGACCTATAATATATTGATGAAAAAGAGTATAATAGGGGACGTTTAAACACCCTGTTGATTGACTCTGCTTCTGAAACCCCTCCTGTCACTCTTACAGGGCATTAACTGGTACCACTGGAAAGGCCATGAGTTCTCTATTCCTGCCGTGGAGATGAAGATGAGGCCGTTCAACTTCCGCAGCATCAGCAGCAAGAGGAGGCGGTCCGCCCCTGGATTGTAAACAAAGCCACCCGGCCCAGAGTCACAGATAAACGCAGGTCGGAGGCTGTTCACTGATGAGTTTCTGCTATCTGTGTGTCTCACTGATGATCGTTGTAACGCCTTTTAGTGAGGCTGCAAAGAAAAAGAAAGGGTTATGACAAAAAGATACTAATATTTTATTAATCTTCTGTTGTAAAATAATAAAAACCCATTATTAATAATATATAACCAACATGCAGAAACTGTTTCTAACCATCGATGAGAACACGACATAGCAGATAACGAAACAATGACCGAGCTCCGTTTATCTCTCTTTAGCCGTCGCTCCCTGCTGTACTTCTACTCAGATGAAAGAAGACGCTGTATGTAATTTATTAAATACTTTGAATGACAATGGTTCGAATTTGCTGTAAAAAAAAAATGGAAAGGCAAACCAAGAAGCTTTTTTTGTTTCCTTTAATGCTGTGATTTGCCTTTCCCTGGGATAGAAATGTGCTCAGAAATGCCCTCAAGACTGCAAGAGCTAACGTTATTTTAACCGAAATAATAACACTTTTAACAAAAAAAACATAATGTATATGCCCTTAAAACCCTTAACTGTAAGATAAATATATTTTTATAACTAATATTGTGGCAAAATCCATCTATTTAGTATGATTTGATGCCTTGGTATTGGAGCCTATATTAAGTTAATGAATAATAAAAGAAATAAGAGATGAAATTAACTTTAAAAAACCAAACCTCCAGACTCCTCGTTCACAAAGCCGTGCACCAGCAACAGCTTCATTACCACCTGTTTTATTGATCATATTCCTCTGTGTTACTGTTACCACAGTATCATTTGTGTTCATTATTAAAGCAGAAAGAAACTCTTTATTATTTTTGGTAGCCACACTGAGACAGTATGTGCACTGCGAGTGGGAACACAGCAAAGCTATTGTTCATTCAGCTAAATTATTTCTTCAGTCGTCCGTGGGCTTTTAAAATATTATTTCCTGGAATTTATTTTCAAACAACAAACGCTTAATATCTGTGCCCCCCCCCCCCCTTCTGTATACGCAGTGATTGCTTGCAGAGAGGTGTAACCAAAGATCTGCATAATAGAGCTTCAACCCGCAGCTTGGAAAGATGCCAGTCAGTTTTGTCACCAAAGTCACTGAAGCAGCATTTTCCCGCATTAATAGATTCTCACTTTTCAGGGACTTTTATGGTAATCGTGTCCCCTGGCGTTGTGCGTTTATGCAATGTGAACACTAAATTCTATGCAAAAGAAAGTCAGGGTGGGCATAGTGCGAGTTTTTCGCCCGGCCTCTCCCCCACTGTACACTGAAATGAACCCGACAAAGGAGGCAGCACAGAGGGTGGAGAGGAGCCAACTCTTTCTTCTCTGCCGTTCTTAACTAGCTCGCTATTGAAGCTCCCCGGTGAAACAAGAACATCAGCAAACATGACAGAGAATGTTTCTTTTAGTGGGGGCGGGCGTAATCTGCAGCATGCCCACCGAGCATTTTGTTTTTTATTCAGCGTTCACACTGTCGCGCACAGCGTTCAGAGCCAGTGAGTTTAGTTGACTGCTGTTTTCTGGAAACAGAACTTGTTTTAGTTTCCCGCCTCCTCTGTTGGAGGGGAAATGATCTCTGTGGAGTTTGAAGTCAAATCAAAGAAATGGCTAAATCTCCTCTCTGGCTTCAAACAAATAAATAAATGTTTTTATTTTACAATTCAATCGATTGAAAACGAATTCTACCATCCCTGCAAGCAACATCTTGTCTCATATATTCAATATTTCCAGCTGGAGATCTCATTCTTATGTACTCCTGTCAGTTTCTTTATTTCTTTTTTCTTTTGAGCAAACCAGGAAATCTGGCTTGTATTATACGACTGTGTACATTTTCATTTGTGTTGTTTTTTTTCCTTTATTAGACTTGAAAACAATGGTGACTCTCCCCTCTATAAACTACTAATATACTCATGTAGATATGGAGATGAAGATAATGTGACTTTTGATGTGTTCCCCTTTAGATGCAAACTAATTCAGAAACATTTCCCCTTTAACCGTTATATTTTGAACCGTTGTTGTGTTCGAGGGCAGATGGAGACCAATGCATGTTGACTGGATGCAATCAAGAGCCTGATGGTAAATAACAAATGTCATAGCAATATGTTTGTGTCTGTAGTTTCTTTGCTGAACTGGGTAAAAGGCGCCCTTGAAATAGTTTGTAATGTAAAATATGTTGATAACATAATATGGATTTATCAGGCCTCTAAACTGTTGTGAAAAACAGTCAAATTGCCCTTCAAGGGTCAAATAAAAACCAGCATAACCTAACATATAATTTTAACAAACTGTTTCAACATGTGACCTTTCCCAGTCTGATTTATGTCTCTGTGTCAAAGTGACTGTTTCAGAGCCTCTCATGCACTCCATCTCTTTCTGTGATTTATAGTAGCGTAGGGAATTCTCCGTGTACTTATTTCATTAACTACTTAGATGAAGTTTGCCTCAGTGCATTTTTGAACAAAAGGTCACGAAGCTTTGCAGAAAAGGAACTGAATGTTATTAGTATTGTGGGGGATTTTACTCATGGCAAAATATAAGGTGCTCTTAAATCTTTCTAAGAGGAATGCTGATATGCTATAATATTGTTTGTTTTCAAATGTTTCCAATCATTCAATCAATTGAACCATGTTTGTCAATCAATGAGAAAAAATAAGTCACGTTGTCTTGCTTAAAACAAGCTTCTGTCCCGTCTTTCATTTCAAGTTAATTATTTATGAAGCTTTTAGGAAAACAAAACTATTGAAATTGAGCAAATGCAACCCTTGTGTAATGAAAAAAAAAACATGCTTGAAATTCCATAGACTAAAGAGCTTGAATATTTTCTTGATATGATGATGACAGTCCGTCTAACATTAAGACCAAATAATTTGTTTTACTCATTTCAAGCCAACTACAGTATTATTATTTTTTAAATGGAGGGAAATGGTTTGAAAATAGATAACCTTCTCCGTTATTTAAACATAAAACTTAGTATCACACTGTATTACTATTTATTTATACTGAGCCTCCTACAGAACAGGAAACATGTTCCCCTTATTTATTTAACTTATTTTCCAATGTCTCTGTTACTGATGCAACATTGTGAAAAACGATTTAATCTAATAATGACAAATGATCCTCGAAGATATCAAAAAGAAAATGTGATATTTGGGTTTGATTTAAAAGGTCAATTAACTGATCAAAACACCACGTTTGTTGACGTTTCCAATATGAGCCAGAAACTCAAACTGCATTCATTTGAAATCTTGCCATGAAATGTAAATGTTGAAAATGCGTTGTTGACTGTTGAGAAGCTTATATATGCTGAAACTAAGGATTTGTTGTTGAATAACCTTGGATATTACTGTCAAATGTAGCTCTAGTTTGACTTAAACATGTACTATATAGTTCCTTTTTTAATACATTTTCTACATATTAATAAAATATTCAAATAGTCTGATACAGTGTCATTTGTTTCTTTTTTGGTGTGTGTGTTCACTTCATGCTGTGTGTGTTGTGTGTGTGTGTGTGTGTTGTGTGTGTGTGTGTGTGTGTGTGTGTTGTGGTGTGTGTGTGTGTGTGTGTGTGTGTGTGTGTGTGTGTGTGTGTGTGTGTGTGTGTGTGTGTGTGTGTGTGTGTGTGTGTGTGGTGTGTGTGTGTGTGTGTGTGTGTGTGTGCACTACATGTGGTTGTATGTAAGATGTGTGTGTTTTCACTTTGTACTGTTGTATGTTAGATGTGTGTGTGTTCACTTCATGCTGTTGTATGTGAGATGTGTGTGTGTTCACTTCAGTCTGTTGTATGTAAGATGTGTGCGTGTTCACTTCATGCTGTTGTATGTTAGATGTGTGTGTGTTCACTTCATGCTGTTGTATGTTAGATGTGTGTGTGTTCACTACATGTTGTTGTATGTTAGATGTGTGTGTGTTCACTATATGCTGTTGTATGTAAGATGATGTGTGTGTGTTCACTTCAGGCTGTTGTATGTTAGATGTGTGTGTGTTCACTTCATGCTGTTGTATGTAAGATGTGTGTGTGTTCACTACATGTTGTTGTATGTTAGATGTGTGTGTGTTCACTTCATGCTGTTGTATGTTAGATGTGTGTGTGTTCACTTCATGCTGTTGTATGTTAGATGTGTGTGTGTTCACTTCATGCTGTTGTATGTTAGATGTGTGTGTGTTCACTTCATGCTGTTGTATGTTAGATGTGTGTGTGTTCACTACATGTTGTTGTATGTTAGATGTGTGTGTGTTCACTTCATGCTGTTGTATGTTAGATGTGTGTGTGTTCACTTCATGCTGTTGTATGTTAGATGTGTGTGTGTTCACTACATGTTGTTGTATGTTAGATGTGTGTGTGTTCACTATATGCTGTTGTATGTAAGATGATGTGTGTGTGTTCACTTCAGGCTGTTGTATGTTAGATGTGTGTGTGTTCACTTCAGTCTGTTGTATGTTAGATGTGTGTGTGTTCACTTCAGGCTGTTGTATGTTAGATGTGTGTGTGTTCACTACATGCTGTTGTATGTTAGATGTGTGTGTGTTCACTTCAGGCTGTTGTATGTTAGATGTGTGTGTGTTCACTACATGCTGTTGTATGTTAGATGTGTGTGTGTTCACTACATGCTGTTATATGTAAGATGTCTGTTGAACTGTTACGAAGCCCTCCATGTAGAACATCTTAGCATGAACAAAGCCTGGGTCTGTTTAAAGTTTTATATAAAAGTAGAGCTGTGATGGCTGTGATGACTGCAACTGCTCCCCTTTTTACTCCCATGAAATAATGAAGTGCATAGCAAGAGCCAACTGACTCTATGTCATTAACCTTTCAAAGTATCTTCACCTCTAATTGGACGCCGTTAAACACTGAAGTCAGGCCAGCAGCACTTACAAGAGAGCAGTGAAAGTGGAGTCATCAAGGTCTGCCAGTTGGTGCCAGGATTTTCAATGTATGCCCACACACAGAGACATCAAAACACTTCTGAAGATAACATATTGGACAAACATTTGTTCTTTTCTCATCTTCAAAGAAGTGACTGTAGACAGCGATCTGTGGAAAAGAGCCCAATTTAAGGCGGTTAGACTGTCAGAATTACAGAAAGCTGACTTTAATTCATGAAAAGTATTTTTAAAGTCATTTTGTGACAGCGAGGTTGACAGTTAACTAAAAGAGACTCCAGGAAGCTGCTACGCCTGACAAAGATATATTCATTATTGAGCTTTAGAGGTAGGCTACTGCTAGGTGGATTATATTCTTTTAACAATTGTTAGGATAGCTGTTTTCAGTTTATGGCATACTATAAGAGTTCTTAGTACAGAAAATACTATGACATAATGCTATGAATCTTTTCCTTTTTCAGCCCATAAGACGGTATTTCTTGCTCATGAAGCAAGATGGACACTGATGGGTGCAGATAACGTGTTTCTTTAATGATAGAGTCTCCCCTACAGGGTCAGCAGTGTGTTTGACCGCTCTGGGGATAGTTATGCTGGAGTTGTCTTTTCCATCACGCTTTTCTAATTAAATAATTTACATTAAAAAGACAATTTAAATGGATACATGGTGTTATAACAGTTGCACAGGACCTTTGGGAATAGCGCAGTGAGTGGTGTGTTGAAGCAGTTTGAAGCAGAGAAGACATTATCAGTAATGTTATCTTGAAGTACTAAATGCACATAAGGGGGTTGTTGAATCTGCTAATAATAGCACTTTTTTCCTTAGTACTCTCTAATGTCAATTTATATATGTATATTTGATATATGATTTTGGCCAATTTCAATAATACTGTTCACATACACCTCACTCACCTGCTGAAAAAGAGCATGTTGTCAAATGTGCGCCGTTCATTTGCATGCACCCCCGTCCTACGGTGTCATACAGCCGGCCAAAATCCTCCAAAGCCTCACCCCGAGCTGGCTCCTGGCGAGGGAAAAGCAGACGAATTGCCTGCAAGCAATGTAACAGTAAAGCTGTTTGTTTTATTATTCATGTGATATGAGGATGACCAGGGGAAAATGTTCAGCAACAAGGACAGAGCAGATGCCATTTTCATTGAGGTTTGGTTTGTCTGTTAATGGAACTTCAATTGTGGTCCTAAACCGCGGCTTATATGCATTCGCAATGAGATTGTGTATAAATCATGGTAGCTTAATATAGCTTTGTTTTGTTAGCTTCAGGTGTGACTTACAGTTTAGCAGCCAGTCAAGGTCGGCTTTTGCAATGTTGCTGACGGACATGGCTTTAGAGTTAAGTCAAGTTTCAGATTTAACTATAGAGAATGTGATAAATAACATCCGTCAGTTTAGAATCAAAATGACTACGTGTATGTGTTTGAGCTGTCAAGTGCATGCGGCAGCCCAACTGCTGAAAAAAGTCATTATTTTTGAGTTAATATGTCAAGAAATTAGATAGTGAGTCATTTTAATTGAGAGAATAATTCTAAATATTGAGTGTTAATTATAATTACACAGTTAGTCAAAAATAATGACATATAAAGTCATAATAATGATTTAGTAAGTCATCAAAAATGTCCTCTCAGTGATGGAAATGGGCTTCCGTAGGTTACACACGACTTTTTTGAACAAAACTGTGCACAGCTACACAATGCATGACAGAAGCTACATATTTGATACAAATATACCATAATTCTCAATTCAGCAGTTTTCTGAGATTCATTGTTTAATTACGGCCTCTTCTTAATTATCTATTAATTATCCATTCAAATGTTTGGTCAGCAGAATCCACTTGGTAAATAATGAGCCTGCATAGGGTTCGTGAATACATTAGTCAGACACAAATAAATGAGCAACACAGCACTTTATAGTGGTAAAGGTCAGAGAGATAAGCTCATGTTCAGCCTATATCAAAAGAAAACACTGAACAGCTGCGTCATGAAAACAATGCTCACAGTTTGCCATGTTCTCTGTCCGTCATAAACAGTGTAACTTTAACAGAAACTTGTCCGAGGAGCTTCAGAAACTTCTCCCTGCTTTTCCCTTTCAGAAGGAAGGTTTTTTTTCTCTTTCCTTGCAAACTAAAACCCTGAAAACGTACTGTGTGTAACTTGTCCTTTAACCAAAGACGGAGCTCAACAGGGGGCCGTGGTTTGAGTTTAAAATGTGTGATGTTGGACGATTAAAAAGACACAACATGATTATACTGTCTGATTAAATGAAGAGACGACAAACCCTGCTGTGTTTATGACTCTGCTGCCACAGTGCTGTGTTCACACTGCGCAGTCCAGCTGGGATTAAAGTTAGTCTTGATGGAAACATCTCAAACTTTTGCATGTGTGTGTAAAGAGTTTGACTTTTCTGTGTTGTTGCCAGCAATAATGTTCATTAAGTTAACATACATGTAATACATATTGAGTACAGTAGGAGTATTGTCCTTTTTTCCAACTAGCAGATGGGGTGAAATGTCACTCACCCGTAGCTTGAACTCGTTTTTTTAATCCAGAAAGGTGATTAATACAATTTTTCAATTAATGAGCCAGTTAAGGCTGCTGATACTATCAACATGACTGTTTCCTTCATTTCTGTTGGAACCATGTATGTATTTCATGTCATTTGACAGGATTTTTTGCATAATCTTAACAAGTGCCTGTTTTTACATCTCTAACAGCTGGAGGGCCACGATAAAGAGCGAAACCACCGACCACACAGTCAGCTGAACATGCCTGGGTGGCAAAAATGACTTTGTAGGCTAAGTTAGATCTGATCTCATCTCGAAACCAATTAGGAGAAGTTGATTTTAACAACAGAATAATGTGTTATGGTTAAAAATGATGTAGTTAGTCAGAATGAGAGTCAATTTGTGAACAAATGCAAAAGACCAATTTCATACAGCATGTGTACATTAGCAGCAATCATGTAACCACGTCATCATCAAGCTTCATTGATTTCAGTTTTTGCACATTTTAGTTCATTGAAGCTTACTGTATGATGGTTTCTCTACAACAGTGCTGGTGTGAACTTTCCTGAAGACTTTTCTTTAGTCTGCCAAATTGCTAAATCTACATAATGTTCCCTAATTGCAATCTTATTCCATTAGCAAATGAGGAATACAAAGTGAAAATGTTTTATTGTGACAAAGATATACCCAAAACTACATCATGAAAAATTATGTATTTTAGTTAAATAGAACTTAATGCTACATACTTTTATTTACATAGAAATCTTTTAGTTTTCCCTTTGCCTACTGAGTCAATAAAAGGCTGAACATGCTGCGTAATGATCAGAAAATATGTTCTCCTGTTCTCCCCCTCTCTTCACTCCATCCATCCAGTAATGCCTCCACAGCTCTCCACAGAGTGACGTGGTGAAGCTGATGAAAAGCGGCGTTGTGAGCCGTCCCCAGCCTCCCATGTGCTCCTAGAGTCTCTTTACATCTCACTGAATCCAGAAAGTTAACAGGCCCTGGCAGGCATCTGAATAAGAGGGAGGCACAGCCCAGTTG